ATATGAAGCAGAACACGTGGCACTTCCTGTTCTGCCTGGACATAAACAGGTCCACCTGGGGAGTCCCCCATCGTCGGAAGATCAGATTGACCACCTCCGGATGGAGTGACCACTCATGGCGAGAGGACAATGCCCTGCTGAGGAGATCTGTCAGGATGTTCCTGGTTCCAGGTACGTTAGCAGCCACCAGGTGGATGGCGTTCTGCACACAAAGGACCCAGAGGCTGAGCTCCACGTGCCTGTTGATGTAATACATTGCGGCCGTGTTGTCCGTGAGGACCTGCACCACCTTGCCTTTCAGGTGGGACAAAAATGCCTGATAGGCCAGGCGCACCATCTTGAGCTCCCTGACATTGATATGAAGAGCTAAGTCGTGCTGCATCCAGCGACCTTGGGTGCTGAGCTCGCCTACGTGGGCTCCACAGCCCAGATCTGATGCGTCCGAGACCAGAGTGAGCGACAGTGATGGGGACACAAAGGGAATCCCCCGCAGCACTGACTTGGGGTCTAGCCACCAGTTCAAGAGCGAGAGGACGTGGTCCAGCACAGTGACCACTCGGTCTAGGGGATGCCTGCTGGGAACGTAGACTGTTGCTAGCCACATTTGCAGGGGTTGCAGATGAAGCCTGGCATGCCTGACCATGTACGTGCACGCTGCCATGTGGCCCATCAGCCGCAGGCAAGTGAGGGCCGTGGTGATCGGATGTCTCCTCACGTGGGCAATGAGATCCACCATGGCCTGAGAGTGTGTTTCCGGAAGGAAGGCCCGGGAATTGAGAACCACTCCGATAAACTCTATGCACTGGACCAGTGTTAACGTGCACTTTTCCGTGTTTATCAACAGGCCCAGGTCACTGCAAGTGGAGCATACCAGATCAAGGCTTCTCCGCACCTGTCCCAGAGACCTGCCCTTGATGAACCTGTCGTCAAGGTACGGAAAGATCTGGACCCCCCGGCGTCTGAGGTAAGGCGCTACTGGCGCCATGCATTTCGTGAACACCCTGGGGGCTGAGGACAGGTCGAATGGTAGCACCATGAACTGGAAGTGGCGCCCTGCAACTATGAAATACAAGAACCGTCTGTGTCCTGGGAATGTGGAGACATGGAAATAAGCATCCTTTAAGTTGAGAACGGAGTACCAGTCCCCTGGATCCAGGGAGGGGATAATGGAGGCCAGGGAGACCATGTGGAACTTCAACTTCTTGAGAGACTTGTTGAGGCCACGCAGGTCCAGGATGGGCTGAGGCCCCAGGATGGCCTTCGGGATTAGGAAGTATTGGGAGTAGAATCTTCTTTCTTCCATGTCCTGAGGAACCGCTTCCACAGCCCCCAACTGCAGAAGCTTGTCGACCTCCTGAACCAGGAGTTGCTCGTGAGAGGGATCCCTGAAGAGGGACGGGGAAGCAGGGGAGTGGGAAGGAGGGGTATTCACAAACTGCAGGGTATAGCCCCGAGCTACTATGTCCAGGACCCAGCGGTCCAAGGTAACCCGCACCGCGCACAGAGGCCGAAGTACTCAGTACGGCCTGTGCAGAGGGCTCGGAAGCCGGGTGGACAGCGAACTCCATCAGGAGAGCCCTGAGGCGAATGTCCCTCTCCTTCTGGGTGTGAGGCCGAAAGTTCTTACAGATTTGGCAACGCTCCTTGATGTGTGATTCCCCCAAGGCAGCTGTTGGGGGGGTCACTCACAGGCATAGGTCTGCCACAGACCGAGCAGGGCTTAAACCTGGGAGCTCGGGGCATGCCCTACTTGGGGCGAAGTCCCCGCTGAGACCTTAACTATCAGCTAACTATGCATTTAACAACTACTTAACACTAACTACAATCAAACGAAGGCCTGAAGGCATGAAGTCCAATGGGAGAAACCGCTAGCTCTTGACAAGAGAGGCGCTCTGACTGACAACCATGGCGGTAAGAAGGAACTGAGAGGGTGTGGGCTGGCAGTGCCTGATAAATCGCGGCATGAGCATGGCACTCTAGAGGGCACTACAGCCAGTCCTTTGGGTACCACTGAGGCAGAAATCTCCGACGGCCTCGCACATGAGCGCACGCACACCTAGAATGGAATCGACATGAGCAAGCACTCGAAGAAGAACCACGGGATATGCCCCCAGGGATGCATGGTCAAGTGCAGAACCAGTGAGGACACAGTAACATAGGTGTAGCTTTGCTGTGGGGATTCTAACAGCCAGGCTAGGCTAATCTGGGTGCTGAGACTTGCGTCCCAATCCCCCAAGATAACTCTGCAGTGAAGACATACCCTTGGGAACGTAGCTGTGTAAGTCCAGGACTCCTCTCACAAGAGCTGGGCAAATAATGGACTTTTCAGTTCACTGATAGTTCTGAAAAATCAGGACAAAAATTGTTTCAAGTCTAACCAAAAATGAAATTTTTTGTAGTTTTCAGTGAAGCAAAAAAGTAAAAAAAAAAAAAAAATCATTTTGGCTTGAAAGAAATATTTTGGTTGACCCAAAATGAAATGTTTGGTTTTTAATCTGAGCAGTGCTTGTACATTTTTGCATTTAAAAAAAAATAAGACAGAATTGTTGCAATAAAAAGTCATTTTGACCCCAAAAACTCAAAACATTTCATTTTGAAAACATTGACGTAAAAGGTTTCGACTTTTTCAGATTTTTTTCCATCTGAACCAAACTGACAAAACTGACATAAATTTGCGAAACTTTTGCTATTGCCCAAAAGTTTCATCCAAAAATTTTTACCCAGCTCTACTTCGCACCCATAACAGAGGGGGAAGGATGCATCTACAATGAGACATCACACTGCCAGATGTGTACAACCAATCATGGCCTGAATCCGGAGGAGACAGCACTGTGAATAGAAATGACTGATGTGTCACGTGATGAGAAGTCATGGGAGTTACTGCCATGGGTTGAAACCATGCAAAAGTGAATAAATGACATTTATTTTCTCTTTTGTGTACATGTGATTTCTGGGTCTTTATTTGATCCCCATAAACTCAAGTCTGCAGATAAACTGGAGGTTGTTGTATTATTTAAAAATCACGTACTTAAAATAAAACTCAGTAAAAGAGAGAGGAACAGCCTGGCATAAGAAAGATTGACATGAAGGAATTCCATTTGTATAACACTTGGTTGGAATTTGATTGCTAGTGGGCCAGATTCTCAGTTACGCTACATTTATGCCCTTTTAAACTGGCAGAGTGGTATAAAGGGATTTGAGTGTAAATGAAAATTCAGGCCATTACAGTTTTGTTTACAGATGCATGTTTTCCTGGTAGTGTTGTATCATTTTGCTTTTCTGTACTCCACTCTCTCAATAAAACATAATTTGCATTAAAAAGAGAGAAAAGAAGGAAAACAAGAATGCTAATAAAATATTAGAAGATGCAAGAATCTGATGTAACTCTAAATTCAAAAGGCGTTTAGCTGATTCAAGCATTTGAGGTTTGAAGCAGGAATGACACGCTGTTTCAGCCTGGGGTGGGGTGGGGGTGTGTGGAGAGGGGCATTTTGCAAAGAGTGCACAAATTACATCATGGAATCACCACAGATGCAAAAAAATCTAAATATATACTTAAAAAAAACCCACACTGGGAATTCCAATTTCCTCTTACATGCTATAAATACCCGGGTGTGTGCTGGGCGAATTGTGGAACCATAAGTGACAGCTGACAGTCTCATGCTGGGATCAAATGAGCTATTGTTAACTGAAGCGTCATATGTTGGCTCACACACATGCCAACGTGTGATGGTGCTTCCCAGCTTAAAGCCAGCTACAACAGAATTGACCATGCTTTGGGTACCCAGGAAGTCCTCCCACAGAGTGATGTATCTCGGCTATTATAGCCAGGGACAACAGAAGTCTGCAGAGAATTTGGACAATATCTGTGGGGATTTTTCTCCTTCAACCTGCAGAATTTCTCTCTGTGTTGGAGAGGAGCAATTTTTCTTTCCTACTGTGTGTCCTGTTTTCATGTTAATACCAGAGATCAGTGTAATCCTCAAGGTATTCAAACCAAAGGAGAAGTAAGCATCACAGCCTACTGGTTAACGAAGGGGATTGGGAGTCTGGACACTTGGGTTCTATTCCCATCTCTGCTACTGATTTCCCGTATTACCTTAGGCAAATCACCTAGCCTCTTTGTAAATTCAGGCACTGAGAGATGGAGTGACTTGCTTGAGGTAACAAAACAAGTCAGGAGAAAGATGTCAGAGTTAGGACCGCAAGTTGTCTGCACTAGCCACTAGATCTGCTCCCTCAGTTGACGAAGTCAGGTTTACAAAACGTAAGAAGAATTCATTTCCAGTTGGCTGTAGTTCGGGAAAGTTTCTGGCATTTATGACCAGGTTCTAGTAGTAAACATCACATCTATTAACTCCCTACTGCTCGATCTCAAGAAATAGCCTGCCAAGGATTTTCTTAACAGAATAATCTGCATCCGTGAGAAGAAATTAAATAGTAACGAATGATAATATTTTGCAGTAGTAACTTTCTCACCACATTTTATAGGCATTAACTAGCTAAAACTGACAACCCCCTGTCCAGTGTGGAGACACATGAAACTATGAATTCCTCTGGCAAAGCTGGACCAACAAAAATCAAGGTAAAGCTCTTCAAAAGTGCAGGCCTGCATACGATGAACTGCTCCAACACCCAGTGCACAAGCAGTGGGTTATGGGAACACAATTGGGGCCCAGACAAATCTGCAGCCAGACCTATAGAAAGGGCGGGGTGAATTGGGGGGGGGGTGCGAGCACCAATTTCTTTAATTCTTTATTTGCTTCTTTTCCTCTAAGTCATTTCTAGCCCTTGCTGACCTGGGGAGCAAAAAGCTTTTGGGAAAGTGTCTTGGGTCAGTATCACTGAGTAAACTGGCCAGTCCACATTGTACCGATGGGCTGCGTTCGACCCTCTGGGAAATCGCAAAACACTCCTCTGCTCTTCTCAGCCTCGGTACCTCTTGCACCCTCCCTCTCCCTGCTGATTGGGGCACAGTAGAAGTTGCTCCCGCAGCTTACCTGGCTGATAGAAGTCTGGAGACAGTTCCCTGGCCATAGTCCTGGCTACGCTCGATTCACTGTTAGCTGCCTGAGCTGCTTGCTCAGCTCCATCTGCCTTGGCTTTGGCATGGGAGGTCCTGTGAAGAAAACACCATCACGACATTAAGTATCTCCCGAAGCTATGATCAGCATGGCCCAAGCACATGGCATTGGCTACACAAAGAACACTGAAGAATTAAAAATCTGGCACCTCATTTCCCAATAATCCCTTTGACAAGTGGGCTGAAGGAGCAGTGAAAAGTTTACCAGCCAACTAGTCATTTTCCTAGGATGTTTCCTGCCACCCCTACTGCCATAAACCTGGGCACCATTACGTAGTTAAAAACAGACATGATTATTACCCATCGACAGGTGGCAAACTAGCACTGCATTAAGCTAACCCCAGCTGCCAGCAAACAGAAACCACCCAATGGAAATGAAAATCCACAGCCTATGGACAGCCAAGCAAAACGGAACAGACTGGCAAATAAGTTAGTTGCACAACTGCTTAAGCATAGTGTGTGTCCACGTGCATAATAGGGTAACTGTGCTTGCAAATGTGCCTAATTAGCCAGTAATTATGCTAACAAACGTCACAGCTCTATTGCATGGATTCGACACCTTCAACCTTGGGGACTTGGAGCAGGAGTGCCCCAGCCAATTACACCTGCTGTAGTGGGACACGGAAGGAAAGGCTCCCTCCGAGATGTGGCATCCTTGCATTCTGTAGGATGGGATTCCATTTCCATACCCAGGGAACACCAAGGAACACTCCTTTCCCCTACCTTTTGTCAGTTTGTTTGTATTTAAAATTATAAGTTCTTGGGGCAGGGACCATGCCCTCATATGTGTCTTGCACAGTTTGGGCACTTATACAATGTACATGACAACAACATTATGGCCTAAGGGCCAATTGCAGCCTCAAAAGTCTCGAGTGTGGTACACAGAAAACTTCATCTTTCCTGAATAGGAGCAGGCTATGGAACTGCAGATCCCAGCATGGAACAGTGGGCAAAGTTTGGCAAGTTCTGTCCTGAGTGCCTCTCAAGTGACCATAAAAGAAACAAGAGTTCAGTCTTTCAGGCAGATTCCCCTATCCATACCAACCTCCAGAGCTGCCCTTGTAATATGAAAACCACCGCGGTGGCACAGATGTCTCCTCTTCCATACCTTGGCTTCTTGAGTCCTGTAGAGAAACATCTCCTGCTTGCTTCATAAGGCTAACTAAGTTATCTGTCTGTTTGTGATATTGCTAAGATACCTAGCATTTTGGTCCCTATGATCTTCACATGAGAAGTTAAGCTAGCTTTGGAACAAAGATGCCTGTTTAGTATGAATAGGGTGACCAGATGTCCCGATAAAATCGGGACTGTCCCAATATTTAGGTGTTTGTCCCAATATTTCACACTCCAGTGAGGTTTTTTTTTTTTTTGCTCCGCCGGCAGCACTCCGGTTTTTGTTGTTGTTTTTTTCTTCGCCGGTGACCCCCTCCCTCCCATGTGTCCCAATATTTTCTTCCTCTCATCTGGTCACCCTAAGTATGAAGCTGACTTCAACAATGAAATTGAGCCTTCAGAACAGAAGAGAACAATTCTGTGCACACACAAGCCACCCTGTTCCATCCAAGGCTACGAATACTTGTTTTCCTAACACTGTCATGAAGACCAGATTTTCAGCAGCTTCCAGAATCACACCAATCCATATTCGTGGATATGTAAATGTGCATATACAAAACCACATGTATTTGTATGCATAAGGACAGTTAGATGTATGATTATCGATCTGTATGTGTAAACATGAATACTATTAATTACAAGCATTAATTCAGCCTTGCAATAATCTGTGAGCTAGTTAAGTGACATGCAGTGATCCTTTTCCCCACACTGATACATAGACCCCTTTGGGGTGAAGTACAGATGCTGTTTGATGGCACACAATGGTAGAGCAACATCTCAGAACTGGAACTGAGGAAAGATACTGTATTCTGCAAAGGGAATTTTAGATAGAATGTAATCACCAGAGTTTCAATTTAGCCAGGACACCAAGATTAATTCTCTTTCACCAAATCCTCACTTATATATGCATGAGGGGGGAGGGTGTTGGCGCACACAAATATTGCTGGTGCAATAAAAGAGGCTGCTCAAATTTTGCCCCCAAGTTTCTTTACGATGAAAAGCGAGAGAACTTCCATGATTCTTGGTTGCAAAGATTATGGAAAAGAATTAAATGGCTAGCATGTTCCCAAAACTTCATGCTCAGCAATGCTGTAAAATACCTGTGAACTAGAAGAGCATTCTGACTCTTAACATGCAAATGACCACAATATACATCCCCCCTATGCTTCAGAATTCCTGTATCTGGAATCATCTCCCTTTATGTTGGAAACAGGAGTCATCCTATTGCTTACATTTATCCATCATCTTCCTTCTTAGCTTGTAAGCTGAGCTGTCTCAGATAAAAATTGTAGAAAACTGTTTTTCTGTCCAAAATTATTAGAGCTCCTGAAACATCCAGAGACACTAGCTGATGAGACAGAAGTCTGCAATTTTAAACCTCGACTGCATGCAGGAGATCACGGGAAGCTGTAAACAGAGAAAGTGTCTCCTTTTTTGGTAGCATATAATCAGTGTGATTAATTCCACTACAATCTGGGGAGGGCCTAGTGACATATTTATGTGCTTTTCGTGCCTGGGGAATCAGGGTGGATTCACAGTGCTCAGCGCAGAGCCTGAAAGCAGCCTTCACCTTGCAGAGAGGTGCTCCTTTTAACTCTCCAAAGCAATGCTCCGGGAAAGAGTGCAGCTTGACAAACACTAACAGTTCCGCTCTTGCACTTGGATCCCGGAGGGGGCAATCCAGAGAAAGAAGCCCGGGCTTTAGCTACTAAATTAGAGTGGGAATCTCAGCACTTGTCCTACAGTATCTGAGGATGTTGTCTGCCCCATCGATGAAGTGGTTGAAGTTGCATGCTTGGGGCTAGAATGGACCACCCTTGTGTGTGTTGGTGAGCGCTCATTCCCTTGTTGTCCCATTGAAGAGGATGGGCCAGATCTTCTGTTCCTCTAGCATAGGGACAGAGGGGTTTTAAGCCACCATTGCAACTTCCACATTCCTGAGCTTCTCTTGGCCCTTGTTTTAAGTCAGAGCTGCCTCATGGCCACCCTAACTTATATTCATGCTGTGGCCACGTCCCCTTCCTCCCCCAACACACCCTCTATGCTGGGGGCTGTGAGAGAGGCAGTGTAGAGCCATTCTGAGGTACCATGATCCCTAGAGGCCATCTCTGCTAGGTTTATTGCTGGTAGAGTGGCATGAAGAGGCTGGAGCAGAGCAGAGACTCTGGTCCAGTGGGACCACTTGTGGGAGCACGTGCTTGCCATGGCTAGGAAGGGCTGCACAAATCCAGCCCTTGTTGTGGTATCTGGCTCCTAAACCAAAGCCCAGGGTTTGTGAAGAATGGGGTATTGGGATGTTCAGTAGCAGAATGTCCAAGGAAGAGACATATGATAGAATAAGAAACAAACATTCTCAGACTGGGAGACATCAGGCAGGCACATTCCTATTTGCAGCCACCTCAACTTGCCATTCTGGGGGCTAAATTGGATGGAGGGTCACCTCCCTATCATCAGGCTGCTTGCCTTTAGTATATTGCGGTATGGGCTAACATGATAGTAGGGCCTCGCCCTTAGGTGATTAACTTGAATGTACTTTTAGGGAACTAAAACTAGGAACCAGCTCTGGATGCATTAGGGCTTGTCTACACAGGGACATTGAGGATAATTAATCCAAATTAACTAAAGATCTGAATTTGAAGTGGATTAGTTAAACTGCATTAAAAACCCTGTGTGAACACCCTCATTTAAAATTAAAGTCGCCTTAATTCAGTTTAGTTTAATTCACTTCCAAAGTGAATTATGCTAAATCGAATTAAGGCCACTTTCATTCTGAATAACTGCATCCACACCGGAATTCAATGCAGTTTAACAAATCCACCTCAAATTCACACTGTTAGTTCATTCAGATTTATTTTCCTGGATGTCCCTGTGTAGACATGACCTCAGTCTCTCCCTGAAGGGCAAAGAGAGGAAGTGATTTGCCATGTGAGGAGGTACTGTCTTATTCCCTTTCTAGAGTTTGCAAATTGACAAGGCCTGAGACATAGTTGCCATCAGTCATGTCACATACTGATTTATGGTGAGGTGAGGAAGGTCAGAGCTTTCAGAGCTCCTGTCTCACTCAGCCTTGGTCAGCACAAACACCCCAAGTGGGACATTGCATGGCTCAGTTATTAGAACAAGCTATTCAAGCAGAGGATGGTGAGGGACTTGGAGCGGGTGCATACGGCTCTCTAGTGGGCGCCTGGTGCCACGTTGATACCCGAAAGTGGGCTTCCCTCCTCACTGGTGCGTGAGGAATGCACACACTAACATGTTAGCAACAGCCAGTGCAGATACCCCAGCTCATTCCTTAATGCACCAGGATGAAACACAGCTACGGCATGGCCTGGGGGGGTTACACCAGACAAGACAACTCCTGATTACGCTAATCCTGTGGCAGTCCCGGTTTGGTACACAGAGGCTTCCCCTCCTCCTAATAGGCTGCTGTATCTCGTGCTTATCAGGCTGCTGCGTGGGGCTCTAGTGATGCTTCCTCTGAAGTAATACAGTTCCTACAGGCCAAGACCCAGGCCAGGCAAGAACAGTACAGTAAAGGCAGCCTGAACCACGTGACCTGGTGCAATGATCCTGTCAGTCCTCCCAAGCTGAGCACGGCTGGGCTGAGTTCAGTGCTTGGATGAGGAAAGCTGCAGGGCCTGGTGATGGCGATCCAGACCTAACCCTAGCATAAGCGGATGCAACACCTTTGAAGTCAATGGAGCAACTGCGGAGTTACACTGGCGTGAGAGCAGAGCCTAGCTACTTCCTCGAGGGGAACTGCACAGGAGTTCAGGTCTGGAAGAGAAGGAGAGCACACTACCCAACTGAAAGGGCAGCAGGTCTGTAGCTCAGCAGACTGTAGTCGCCTCACTGGGATGTGGGCGGGGCCAATCCTGACCTCAGTTATTGCAGACGGTGGAGCGAATCTGGATTCTCACCAC